ACCTTTACCAATCAGACTAATTCTGTCATTCCCAGCCTCACTGAGGAGCCTCCTGGGATTGACGGAATAAAGTGGTTCGTCTGAGTTGGAGGCGAAACGAACCACTCTTTATACGCATTCATTAACACATTGGCGACCAAGCAGTTTTTGGGTGTTCCCGAAAATTGCGTCCTAATGCTGAAACGCTTCCATACGGTGTACATACCAAATCAATGAGAACACAATGCGGAAACTGCTGAAACATCATTTGTCTCGTACAAATGCTTAATGGCTGCAAACCAAGCAAAAATCTCCCCGTCCCGCAAAGGTGAAACTTCGGAACGCTCTCGGAAAATTCCAATTTTCCACTGTAGAATCCACAAATGAGGTTGAACACAAATCTCTTTTTTGCCAATTGTTGTATCATTGAGCTAGCTAATAGCATACAAAAAGGCAGCTTTCTACATCAAGAAAGAACAACCTTATCACTGAAGAAGCAATTCCAAGCAACCCTTCTGTAAAACTTTCACTGTGAAAGATGTTCAAAGAACGTGGCCATTACAAGTTTGACAACGTATTCCGGGTTAATATAGCACCGCTCAAAATTTGGAATATGCGCAAAGGAATAAAATTCAAGGGGTGTCGCCCGGCATCGGGCGACATTGTCGCCAATGTGTTAAGTAACAAATTTGTTCCATTCATTACTACAGTGTCATGTCCGCAGGTATTGCCATTGGCAAGCAGAGATTCAACCTTCGATTTCCATAAAAAACCAAGTAGAAGATTTGAAGAAAGTGACAGTATACTAGATCATTAGATTCGCCATGATCAGAACTATCCGATGGTCAAATTTCTTATATCATTTGGACCACTTTTCAGAAGTTACAGCAAAACGACGGTTTGCTACGGAAAGTTGTATCACATTTCGGCGATTGAACAAAAATTAGGGGCGGTATTGTACTGCATCAATCCAGCCTGATATCTTTCTCACAGAGGGCCAAATGCGACCTTACCGACCTGTCGAGAGTTCCTCAACGCACGCTTGGGCGGCGCTCCACTTTTTGGACGGCATCTCATTATGCCAAAATATCCAAGAATCTAGGTGGATCTCTAGCTGGGCTCAAAAAATTGTCAGGTATCTATCCACGGACTGTAATCTAATTCATACCAACCTCCGACTTTTGTTTCCTCTTCCTTTTTATTTTTTTTGTTTGCTAATTTCTACGCTGTTTTTTCATTGTTTCATTAGGCATTATACCAGTGACTTATTGTTCTCAATCAATTCAAAATTATTAAGTTATTAGCAAGAAATAAAATTGCAATGCAATTTTTACCTTCCTCTTTCTAGGGCTATAACTTCCTTCATATTCAAGCTTTTGCGCCGAAGTTTTTGATTTGAAAAATTCAAATTATTCTCTCTCCAACATGGCTAAAATTCTTCGAAAGTTAATTTAATAAAAATTTAGCACGTTGTTACTTTTTTCTGTGCAAATGCGACTTTTCAACCTTTAAACGATCATAACTTCCTTCAAAGTCATTCATTTGGGAAGCTGAACAGCATGAAAAACTACAGGTTCAAGCTTTCTAAAAGTACTAGAACTTATTCAAAAAGACCCTAGTTCAAAACTTTAAAAGTTAGTCCCGTTGGGACTTTTTTGGGAGTTTGTGGAATTTTTCTGGAAGCGCGACTTTTCAACCTTCAAACGATCATAACTTCTTTCAAATTCACCGATTTGGAAAGCTGAACCCAGCATAACAACTAGAAGCTCAAGCTTCCTATAAACCGCTGAAACTTATTCAAAAGGTTCCCACTCCTGAACTTGATCCCGTTGGGACTTTTGTTTGGAAGATCATTCCTCAAGCCATTTTCGAGAACGCGGGTTTTTCTTAGGTTCCTCTGGTCGCAACTTCCCGGAACCATTTCTACCAGACTTAGAGTATATCAGATGTTTCAAGCATGCGCTTGCACTGATTTTCCCTGCCATGGTGTGCGCCACGCCTATTCCGCGCTTCTGATTCGCTGATTCATTTGAAAGCTCATTTGGAAGGAAGCGTGGGCTGATAGATGCTCTAGTATCAGTTATTTTGCGTAAACATAACGTGGTGGCTATTATCCATGTTGGTCCAGGCAATTCCAGTTTCACCTGTGGTTTCGTGGCTAGATCCATGTCATGGTGGGAGCACTCACTGTGAACGAAGCTACATGTTTCGCTGCTGCTGTTTCTGCAAGTATTGCTCTTCATGGCTGGGTCTATGCGGGGTAAAGGGCTTTGCTCCCACTGCCGACCACCGCGAGTATGACCCACGCACAAGCTAATCCGAATACGATCTCTGTTGGCACTCGTAGCAACGTTAACCCTATCTGATGGGACATAGAATGGTGGTGCTTCCGGAAACGATGTCTCAGTGAAATTTGTTTCATGTGGTTGCGGAATGAGGAGTTTGGTCGCTCACCCTTCTTTGTCTCACATTTCTCGCGATAAGATAATCTTGTGTTCTAAAAGACAGGGAACCCTATAGTGCAGATTCCGGATGAAAAGGAGAACAATGAACTGCGCAACGCATGATTGATCCTGCTCATGAATCCCTCAATACCAATATCGCTCTAATTCTTCCTACCAAAGAGCAGGATCAACCGTTAATTGCGCAAAGATGAGCGAGGGGGCGTATCCGGGGGTGGGAGGGGGTCGTGAGCTGAAGCACCAGTCGCAGAATTTGAAGGCACCAAGGCATGACAGTGGAGTTCGGACTTTTAACTATCACTGCGACCACTAACAACAGCGACTGGATGGCGCATCGCAGAGCAGGAGTTCCTACACTAAATCACTACTCCCGTGAACACGAGCAACACGATTTTTGTGAAATTTCGATGCTTCCAAACTATCAAAATGGAAGAAAGTGCAACGACTTGGACGGAGTTACTTCCAGAGTCCTAAAAGAAAAGGCAGTCAAAAAGTTTACCAATCTAGAGCTCTTCAGTTGATTTGAGCATAAATTATAAAGCATTGACTATGTAGATTTTGCCATATCCAACCTTCAAACGAGCCATAGAGGGAAGAAACGGAACTAGAGGACTATTTTTGGCTATACCCTTTACTGCCCCACTCCTCGAGAACTGAGCCGGATTTTTATCGAAATTGGTCATTGACTGTGAATTTGGCTAGAAACTTGCCTTCGGGGGTAATTCGACCCGTAGAACACGAATATCACATTTGTTTACCGCTAGAACGCCTGGCGCTCGCGTCAGAAGCGCCGGCGCCAAAAGGCGCCAGAACATCTCGGATCCCCAAATTCGCTGGAAAGTTGTCCTCAGAGGTATTTTGACCCGTAGAATATGATTATCACATCAGTTTGTTACGAGTGAACCTGTAGCCTGCGCTACGAGCGCCCGCGCAAAACTGTTGTGATAGCGCCGGCGCCTGTGGCGCGGGCGCCAAGCGTTTTCGCTCTAAACCGGTATGATATTCGTGTCTACGGGTCAAATTACCCCTGAAGGCAAGTTTCTAGCAAAATCCACAGTCATGGACGAATTTCGATCAAAATCCGGCTCAGTTCTTGAGGAGTGGGGCAGTAAAGGGTAAATAGTGCCAATTTTCAATAGTGGCGTATGGAGAAGAAATCTCGAAAGCCTAGTCTTCTAGCTCCTAGTTTCCAATTAGCTTTAGCGACCTGCAAAAAGGCGATTACAGAGGAAGATATAAGTTTGAATGTTCAGCACTTGCATGTGCACAGGAAATGGAACAACAGGACGCTCTTTTTTTTTTGAAGAAGTTTGCAACAGTTCAAACACTTTTCGAGAAGTAAATGATTTTAATGTTTCAAATTTTTTCATCACGCAACGTATGAACGCTAATGAAGGATGATATAACCTTTTAATGAAGAGGTCCGTAATTACTGCAAGCCTTAGCTTTTTCCTTCGTAGGAAGCAAGACTTGGGAGCAGGGTCAACCGTGCGTTGCAGAGATCTCAAATTTCATCACCCCCCCCTCGCCCCCTCGTCCAGGGTAGTACGAATCCCCTGTATCAGTATTTGTGCCTATTCACATCGGAAAGAGGAGGTGGGCAATGGGAAATTAATACGTCGCGAACTTCGTCCCGCCTAGAGGACGGGACTCGAGGCGATATATGAAGTTTTACTCATCAATTAGGGGTACTTCTAAGATTTCGCGTGAACATAGGTACCCTCCTTTCGAAATGAGAAGGGGTCGGGTGCAGACCATGCACCACAAGTGACGACGGCCTCCACAAAATGTAAATGTTTTCTGCCAATGAAATGATTAGCCTGTTGCAGTTGTATTCTATCAGTTGTCACTAATTACAACTATCATTTACCAAAAATCAGCTATCACTATGAACCACTACTAACCAGATTTACTTGGAGGCCGTCGTCACTTGTGGTGTATGGTCTGCACCCGACGGTCTTCTCGTATTCTGAGCGAGGGGGGTACGCTTGTAATCGCACAAACCTCTACTTACAGAAAACTATCGAATTTCTCCGAATCGTCAACTCTTCATTTTTACGAAGATAAAAACTGAACCTTGAAATACATTGACGTTATGTGAACCCTTGATTTAAAAGCTTTTATCTTTTTTTAGTTGCGTTATTATTAAATAGGATATGAAAATTTTGAAATTTAGAACTTTTTTCTTCCAAAACTGTTCAGATTGTTGCAAATGATCAATTCCTGATGTCGTCCCGTTGTCCCTTTTTTCAGGGTTTGTGGCCAGATTATTGAGAACGCGCAATTTTTATCTTACAAACGTCCTTCGTTGCGAACTTCCTCCAGATTACTGGGGCCAGTTTGAAACTACATAGAAGATCAGTGCTTTTGCAATAATACTGAAACTTTTTCTAAGGATAACTCTTCCAGAACATAATCCCGTTGCTCGGTTTTTTCCATCTGTGATTATTCAAAGCCATCTCCTGAAACACAGTTTTCAAACTTCAAACGCACATAAGTTTCTTTGGAAAAGGAGTAATGAAAAGCAGAAAGAAAATTGAACCCAACGGTTCAGCGCTAATGATGTATGCTGATGTATGCAAGCATCTCTTGAAAAGCTACGAAATGAAAGCCACCTTTCGAAAAATTTCCCAATTCATGGCTATAGAAGTGAATCAGCCGAATCTGTTGCACCCTCCTCTCCAAGAATTTGGTCTGAAAGCACCGCAGCAGTACCAAAGGTTTCTTCTTGCTCGTATCACTGGAGTGTGAAGGGTTTCAGCAAGATCACCTGCTCGGTGATGCCCATTGAATCGTTTCAATCGTCTGTGATTAATAGTCGCAGTGGTAATTGAAAGTCTGTCCTCCTTTGTCACTCTGCTATGCCTTGCTACCTTCGAATTTTGTAACTGGTACTCAACTTACGACCCCCTCCCCCTTGGTCGAAGGACTACTTAAGCTTTTTTTAAGCTGCCCCACTCGACACTTTCGTCTGCGCTCTCTCGCCTTATCAGCGGCTCATGACCACTGTGATCTCACACATTCAAACTTTTGCCACAATGTAATTGGCTCACCCACCTCGGATTCCCTCCCCCTTACAAGGCTTAGTCCTAGGCTCTCACCTCCCTCCTTGGGATTTGGAGCCGAGCCAGGCGCCGTTCTCTGATCGTCTGTGCTCTACGTCCATTAGTGGCAGGGATAA